AGAGATCCAGACCTTATCACCAAAACAAAACAAAACCGATTCCAGGGTCTTGCCTCTAGACATTTTGGGTTTAATTGGTTTGGGTAGGATCTAGAAATAGACATTTAAAAATAGTATTCCAGCTGGGCTCAGTGGCTCAGCCTGTAATCCCACGCCTTTGGGAGGCTGAAGTGAGTGGATTGCCTTTGCCCGCGGGTTCGAAACCCGCCTGGGCAACTTGGCGAGACCTCATCTCTACAATAAATTAAAAATTAGCCGGGCATGGTAGTGCATGCCTGTAGTTCCAGCTCCTTGGAAGGCTGAGGCGGAAGGATCGCCGGAGCCCAGCAGGTCGAGGCTGCGGTGGCCGGGAGCGGCCACTGCACTCCAGTCTGGGCGACAGAGTGAGACTCCAACTAAAAAAAAAAAACACAAAAAATAAAATAAAATAAAAATAAAAAAAATTCCAAATATTGCAATGAGCCAGTGGACTTTAAGCTGCACTGGATTATAAGCTCCTTGAAGACTGGGATTGTCTTATAATAATAATTCTTGTTTCCCCAGTGCCTACCACAGTGCCAGGCACATACGCTATCTTAGTAAATAATTGTTGCTCCTAGTTTCTCAGGGATATGCAGTCAGGATTGCGTTGAACATACCACTCTACCTTTTAACCTCTCTCACATGTGTTAGCCGCTGGGCAGTCATTCATCTTAAAACAGAGCCACTTCTTGAGGAGAAAACTTAGGCTGGCATTTAAAACATATCACCCCTGCATTCTGTTCTTGATACTTTTCTTGATCAGCTTGACACTGATACAGTGAAGCAGCTTCGTATAATTGGATGCTAATAGGCACGCTGTTTTGAAACTGTCTCCATGCACCAGATCCACAAAGCAAAGCCCCGGATTCCTTGTTTATAAACCTCTTGGATCATGAGAATTTAAAATGGTGAGGAGGTTGATGAGATCAACACAACTATAGTGAGTAGGTTTTCTAAAAGTTAACCATAGTTTCATGGGAGGTTAAAAAATACATTTGGAAGGAATTTTATTGTTCATACCCTGCTTTCTTAAATTTATTTTATTATTTTATTTTTTTGAGTTGGAGTCTCATGCCATTGCCCAGGCTGGAGTGCAGTGGCACACTCACTGCCACCCCAATGTCAACCTGCTGGGCTCCGGCAATCCTTCTGCCTCAGCCTTCCAAGCAGGCAGAACTCAGGTGCGTGCTACTACACTCGGCTAATTTTATTTATTTATTGTAGAGACCAGGTCTTGCCAAGTTGCCCAGGCTGGTCTCCAACCCACGGGCTCAGGCAATCCACTAGCCTCGGCCTCCCAAAGAGCTAGGATTATGGGCTGAGCCACCGAGCCTGGCCTGCTTACTTAAATTTAGAGCGACTTCTTAAAAAAAAAACCTATTGCCGGGCTTGGTGGCTCAGCCTGTAATCCTGCGCTTTGGGAGGCTGAGGTGAGTGGATTACCTGAGCCCGTGGGGTCGAGACCCACCTGGGTAACTTGGCGAGACCGCATCTCTACAATCAAAAAAAAAAAAAAAAATCAGCCGGGCATGGTAGCGCATGCCTGTAGTTCTGGCTACTCGGAAGGCTGAGGCGGAAGGATCGCTGGAGCCCAGTAGGTTGAGGCTGCGGTGGCCTGGAGCGGCCACTGCACTCCAGTCTGGGTGACAGAGTGAGACTCCAACTCAAAAAAAGACCAACCTATTAATTTATTATTATTATTTTTGAGAGTCTCTCTCTCTCTCTCTCTCTCTCTCTCGCCCAGGCTGGTGTGCAGTGGTGTAATCATAGCTCACTGTAACCTCCAACTCCTGGGCTCAAGCGATTCTCTTCTCCTGAGCTTCCTGTGTAACTAGGACTATAGGTGTACACCACTATGCATAGCTAATTTTTTGTTGCTGTTGTTTAGAGATGTGATCTCACTATGTTGTCTAGGCTGATCTCAAACTTCTGACCTCAAACAATCCTCCCACCCTGGCCTCCCACAGCACTGGAATTACAGGTGTGAGCCACCATACCTGACAATATCTTATATTTCTACAATGCTTTACATATTGTGATTACCCAAACCCAATTTTCATTAAATATCTCTTATTGGTTATCAATTGTGTATAATGTTAGAGAAAAAAAGTATTGTAATTGATAGACTCTTTTCTGTCCTTGAGAAGTTTACGCTTTGTAGAGAGATAGAACAAAGTACATAAAAGAACCCTAAACTAGGCCTCATGAAAAAGACAAAGTGTACACAGATAGCCATAAGAAATGACAGCATATAGCCAACAAATACCACAAAATCCATGCTCTTTCCAGGGCATATTGTAGCAGGTCTGAGGAGAGAAACAAAAGGCACTCTATGTAGTTGCAAGACTTTCAAAGTCCAAATCCTGTTTAAATGTATCCTACATTCCAATTAATAATTTTCTTTCTTAAATCCTGCATCAAGTTGGATGTGGTGGTTTATGACTATAATCCCAGCATTCTGGGAAGCTGAGGTGGGAGGTTTGCTTGAGGCCAGGAGTTCAAGACCTGCCTGGGCAACATAGCAAGATCCCATTTCAATAATAATAATAATAATAATAATAATAATAATAGTAGTTGGGCATGGTGGCACATGTCTGTAGTCCCGGCTACTCTGGAGGCTGAGGCTGGAGGATTCCTTGAGCCTAGGAGTTTGAGGCTGCAATGAGCTATGATTGCACCATTGCTCTCCAGCCTTGGTGACAGAGTGAGAACTTATCTCAAAACAAAAACAAAAACCTGCATCAGAAAACTTCAGTGAGCTTGTCAGGATCTGGGAGTGTATGAGGAGGGGAAAAGGACCGCAGCTTTCTCATGGCAGGGACAGTCAGAACCACAGCCTGGCCATCAGTCCTTCCCCTGCTTTTCTTGAAAAACTGTTCAGCCTCCCAAAGCTTGAAATAGGGCCAACAATTAAAGTTTTCATCTATCTAAAGCTTTTTGTTATATTCCAGGTGAGCGAGACCAAGCCTCCAGTTGCTCAGGGAAGCCATTATACCATGCCAATTGGCAGGATTTCTAGGACATCAAACTTCTGTTACTTTCTCTATAAAAAAATTAGTCATGAAGGTTAATTATCCTTTCTTTCTATATCTCCTGTAATTAATATCATCCATTTTGGGCTTTTCTGGGTAGGATATATGCCGTGGTTAGGAATGGTTTGTGCAAAGCTAGTTGGCACATTTAGGGACTGAGTTTGGGATGTGACCTAATATCTCCATGAACTGATTAGATAGTTCAGTTGATTTGGGATAGACAGGACTACCTAGTGACTGACATCTACTGATTGATGGATATAACTAACTATCTGAATGAAAAGGTAATAGGCAGTGATACTATGCAGAACAACAAACAAAAAGCTTGAAGCAAAACTTGAAAACCAGAGTACACAAATTAATATTGTTACTATGTTTCTAAAATTGTCTACTATGACAGATTCTTAAACGTTATAATTATCTTAGTTCTAAATTTTGGAGTCAGCTTAAACTGTAAGTATTAAAAAGAAACACTTGAGCTGTCTTTATACTTAAAACACCAAAGTAGAAATGTCCTTATACTTTAATGTGGATATAATGAGTGCCTTATCACTTCTCTATTAAGTTTTGTGCATATCAGTTAGATTATTTGTTACTAACTAAAAAGGGAGCTCTGTTTAAATGTTTGTTTACTAGAAGATTCTATGACAGGAAATTTAAGCCCATGGATATGATTGGCATTTAGCAATTGACATTCCTAGCTTCAAAAATCAAAAGTTAAGAATCACATGTGTACCACTTCAATCTATTAGGATGACTATACTGTAATTAAAAAAAGAAAAATAACAAGTGGTGGTGAGGATTTGGGGAGACCAAAACCTTTGTACACTGTGGGAGGGAATGTAACATGGTGAAAACTGAAAAGTTCCATGTTCCCCCCAAAAATTAAACATAAAATTACCATTTGACTCAGTAATTCTACTTTTAGGTATATGCCTAAAATAATTGAAAACAAGGACAGATACTTGCATACAAATGTTCATAGTAGCTTTATTCACAGTAGTCAAAATACAAAAACAATCCAAGTGTCCATCAACAGGTGACTGGATTTTATTTTATTTTATTTTTTTGAGTTGAAGTCTCACTTTGTTGCCAAGACTGGAGTGCAGTGGCACGCTCTGGGCCACTGCAGCCTTGACCTGTTGGGCTCCAGCGATCCTTCTGCCTCAGCCTTCCAAGTAGCCGGAACTATAGGCACGCGCTACCACGCCCGGCTAATTTTTGATTTATTGTAGAGATGAGGTCTCGCCAAGTTACCCAGGCGGGTCTCGAACGTGCGGGCTCAGGCAATCCACTCACCTCGGCCTCCCAAAACGCGGGATTACAGTCTGAGCCACCGAGCCCGGCCGGTGACTGGATTTTAAAAACTGGATATACATATACAATGAAATATAATTTAGCCATAAAAAAAGAATGAAGTTCTGATACCTATTACAATATGGATGAACCTTGAAAACATTTTGTTAAATGAATTGAGACACAAAAAAGACAAATATTGTATGATTTCACCTATATGTAATATCTAGAATAGGCAAATTCGTAGAAGCAGAACATAGATTGGAGTCTACTAGGGACTGGGGAGAGAAACAATGAGGAGTTTTATTACATAATGGGTGCAAAGTTTGTCTTCAGAGTGATGAAAAATTTTGAAAATAGTGGAGATGGTTGTACAGCATTATGAACATAATTAATGTCACCGAAAGGCGCACTAAAAATGGTGAGAACAGCAAATTTTATGCTACACATGTTTTTCTACAATAAAAAAAGAGTAAAAAAGATCACATTGGCAACATGACCTATTGCTTGTTTTCTTGCAGCCCTTTTACTTTTCACAGATGTAACTATGGTACAGCCTAGGTGTCACTCTACTATAGGGATTATAGAAGCAGAAGGTATATCTTTAGTTGTATAATTGACAGAGTCCACTTTTGAAAGTAGAATATAAATTTAGGCTCCCGAATCGAGGCTTTGTGTCTTTTCTGCAAAAGAATCCTCACTAAACGTTGACTCAAACAGAGCAAGAATGGACTTCTTGAAAATCTTTTTGAAGTTCTCCCCAATAAATAAGTAGAGTGTGGGAGAAAAAACAGTATTGAAAGATGTGGTTAGTGCTGTAAGTATCACAGTCAACTCTAAAAATAGTGACTGGTTCTTAGTGAGAATTAAACCTTGGTACACATGGTAGGGCATCCAACACACAAAGAAAGAGATAATGGCAGTTATCATGACTTTGAAGGGCTTGCTGGATTTAAACAGGCTCCGCTCTTTCATCTTGCTGGCTACTCTCTCATAACAAAAGACGATGATGAAGAAAGGCAGAAGGAAGCCCAGCAAGAAGCGGCTGATGAAACAGGCCACATGCATCCACTGCCTTACTGTTTGCATCTCCTTGCTTGCCCAGTTAGTAGACACAGCGTAGTTATTTCGGCAAGTCACCTTTCCTTTATGGTCATGATGTGTTTCCCTGAAAACCAAATAAGGGATGCTGAGGGCAGTGGCAGAGATCCAGACTCCCAGGACAATACTGGAAGCCGAGCGTGGGGTTCGGTGCTGCTGGGACCATACCGGGTGAAGAGTGAAAAGATATCGATCAAGACTGATGGCTGAGAGGAGGAAAACAGAGGCGAACATCCCCAGAGACAAGGTGCTATTGAAGACCTTGCACAAGACAGTTCCAAAGATCCAGTCGTTGTCCTGAAGATAGGTAGTGGCCATAAATGGCAGAATCAGTGTTGAGATAAAATATGAGAGGATGAGATGAAAAAATAAGAGAGTATTGACAGTCTGTTTCATCTTGAATTTTAGCACCCACAGATAGAGGCCATTGGTGATAGTGCCGATTATAAATGCCAAGAACAAAGCAAGGGCAGTGATCATTTTTGACGCAGGAGCTATAGAGTGAGTGCTGTTGATCAGGTAGTTCGTAGAGTTGATCAGATCCATAATTACCTGCGGAGTAAGAAACAGTGTAAATAACAGCAAAAAGAAAACAAAAAGTTAAATGTAGAAATTAAAATAGTAGCCTGAGCCCGTGGGTTCGAGACCCGCCTGGGCAGGCGAGACCTCATCTCCACAATAACATCAAAAAATTAGCTGGGCGTGGTAGTGTGGCGCCTGTATTTCCGGCAACTCGGAAGGCTGAGGCGGAAGGATCGCCGGAGCCCAGCAGGTCGAGGCTGCGGTGGCCGGGAGCGGCCACTGCACTCCAGTCTGGGCGATGGAGTGAGATTCCAACTCAAAAAAAACCAAAAAAACCCCAAACAAACAAAAAAAGAAATTAAAATAGTAATTTTTGCATAGGAATTTTTTTTTTTGAGTCAAAGTCTCATTCTGTCTCCCAGGCTGGAGTACAGTGGCATGCTCATGGTCATCCCAGCGGCGTCCAGGTGGACTCAGGTGATCCTGCCACCTCAGCCTTCCAAATAGCCGGAACTACAGGCACATGCTACCATGCCCAGCTAATTTTTAAAAATATATATATTGTAGGGATGAGGTCTCACCAAATTGCCCAGGCTGGTCTGGAACCCCTGGGCTCAGGCAATCCTCTCGCCTCAGCCTTCCAAAATGCTACAATTACTAGTTTGAGCCACCTTGCCTGGCTAAATGATAATATTTTAACAGTGACAAACATAATACTTCTACAATAATATAAATAAATTATTTTTGTAAAGTCTACACTTTTATTTTGTATGATGAATTATAATCAGATTAACCAAGGCATAAAAGTTAGAAATAGTGCTGTTTTCCTGGTTGATTTAAAACATGGTTAAAGATAAAAACTCAATTAAAAAATACTACAGATGAAATGAAATAAATGTGAAAGAGAAATAAAATTGGAGAACTTTGACAATAGTTCAGTAATGAACATACAGTTAAAAATCTTCTACTTGGACATTCACCAGAAGTCTAATCCTGCTTAAAGAGCACAACTTCTTGAATAAGGCAACGCACAATCAGTCTTACTTGACTTGGACAGGGCAAATGTTGCCAATGAAATAAATGTGAATAATAAAAATAATAGCAACCAGTGCAAATTAGTAATCATGGGATGCTATAATTGCATTTCCGTCACAGCTGACTATATATGTAGTAAATACTAGTTACCTAGTATTCTAATACTCAGCACATAGCAGTAAGAACTGATATTCACATGGGAGCCCCAGGGCACCACAGGGATTGTGAAGTACCTTCAGAATCATCAGCAAAAGAGGGATGTGTATTACGAGATACAGTAATTGCTCTTTCTTACTTGGGGAGGGGAGGGAGAAAAGTCAAGGAATTTATATTTATCCAATACTAGTTACATGCCAGCAGCTTTCTATGAAAATTATTTCTATTTTCCTTACAAAACTTACAAGGCAAAGCTTTAAACAGAGTGGAAAATGAGGTTTAGAAGGGCTAAATGTCTTATCTATCAGCATCTCCCCATCATGTCTCCACTGTGACAGATGAGGAATCCTACACTGCTTTATATGACTTCTTTGAAAATTGGTAATTCATATGTAGCGGTTTTTTTTTTTTTTTTTTTAGAGTCTCACTCTATTGCTCAGGCTAGAG